TCACGTCGCCAACCCCCGTCGCCGCCCTACACCCGCGTCGCCAGGGATTTTTTTTTTAATCTGGATCTGCTTGAAAACGGAAAAGGGGTCTGTTAAATAAGGAAAGAAATAATTTTTTTACTGAATTTATATGGTTATAGTAGTATTTTATAATTAGCTAGTATATTCATACAAAGACTTTATTGCAGATTTCATAAAAGTGCTACAGTTGAAAATTTCGATTTTTTTTTAATCTCAGTTTTAACTTTAATAATAATTAGCATTTATTTGCTTATTGTAATTATAAACAAATCATGTTCGGGTATAAACTTTCCCATAGCAAACACTTTCTTGTTTTTCCCAATAGAGACCCTATTGTTGTAAAACCTAACTTCAAGGCCTTTCTTCAGGAGGGCTGGGACGGAGATCAGATTTCGTCTTATGCCAGGTGCATAAAACACTTCCTTGAGAACCATGATGCTGTCCCCAAGATCCAATCTGTATGAACCAATACCTTCAACATCTAGGTAGGTATTGTTCCCCATGTAAATCCTTTGATCTCCCTTCTTCAGCTCCTTGAAGTCGCATATCCCTTCCTTCGTCTTTGCAATATGTCGGGTAGCTCCCGAATCAATCCACCAGCCACCAGCGTCAGTAGTTGCAGCATTGCACTCAATGACGCCGATGAACTCCCGCTTACCGGATCCTCCTTGTTCCGGGCGTTTGGGACCGCCCTTATTCTTCGCCTGTGGACAGTTGGCTTTGAAGTGGCCGAACTTCCTACAGATATAGCATGATCCAGGAGGTCCTTTCTTACCGCGAGCACGTTGCTGGCCAGGTCCTTTGAAGGAAGGCTTGACAGGTCCAAACTGATGAGTTCCTTGTGCCTTGCGATAGTGAGCTGCATTTGCTTCTTCTTGCTGCACAAGGTTCACATCTGAACCTTTTCTTCTAGCTAGTAAATCATGTTCCATTGCTAACTGGGCTGGCAAGTCAATAACACGTTTAATGGTTCCATTAAGCCTAAGTGTTGTGGCAGCCATATCTAGTGAAGGTGGCAAGCTATTCAAAATAGTTGCCACCTGCAATTTCTCAGGAATTTCAGATCCTGCTGAAGCTAGGTCCTTAGCCATGACAATC